TTCTCGCACTCTCTTGCAGAATGGCTAAGAAAAGAAATTGTCAAAGTTTCCAGGGGAAAGTTCCATTGGGACTTCACATGGTTTTCTGCACCCGTTAACGAACACATATGGTGTCGATTTTTCAGCACCATATATTCAACCACCACATCAGCCCCATCCGCTGCCGATCAATGACTGTTGCGGCAGGTGTTCATCCGTCTGTGGACACCGCACACGAAGGGTATGTGAACTTTGGCGAGACACTTTTGAACGAGAGGTTTTCAACTTCTGGTGTGACCCACGTCTGAAAACGACGATTTGCCCGACCTCTTTTCTTCTGCTGAGCAGCCCTTACGATTAGCAATCATTCCCTGATGTCATTCTCACACTTGCTTCCGTGATAGGCATTAATAACACGTTGACGACAGCGCAGGACACATACGTCCCGCACTTTGCAGGCCATGACGGACAGCGCGGGACGTATGTGTCCTGCACCCATTACATTCATTTTTCCGCTTACGCGTGATTCCTTTTTAAGTTTCTTGCATTTATGAGTATTTCTGAACCTTACGGAATCTTCATTTTAATCATTTTTTGTTTCCTTTTTCTCTTCATAAATGTGAAGACTAAGAGCAGTAGAAGTAGATACGGAACATGAGGAATGAGATATATGTTTGCTTCAATCAAAATTGCTTTTGAGATCTATCGCAGCCATGTCTGAAAAGTATTGCTTTTTCAGTGTTGTTGCACATCTTTCGATCGTTTTTTACTGTACTCAAAAATGTCTTCTACTCTTTGAAAATTACTTATCTAAGTTTGTATCAATCACGTTCTATCTATTTACTTCCCGCTCGAGTAACCTGAAGCGGCCACGCTAGCAAAATCGTCCCACGCTGACAAAAAAGTCAAAACGCGCTTACAAGGGAAGTCGTTCAGGGTGTGCCAAGCTTTTTCAAAATGGTTTCTTGCATGACATTGGGGCACATAGGACCACAGCATGGTTCATTTTTCCTGAACGGCCCTCTGAATACCAGAAAAGGGGTCCCTAGTTCGATTCCTCGTGGTGACAAATTTTTGCATTTCGAGTTGACGTTTCAAAATTCGCGCAAAATGGAGTTAGCATGAATAATTAGTACCATATTCATGATTAGGACCGTCAGTAACCCTTACAAATAGACTTTGATTGAAAAACTGGTGAAAAAGGTGTGACTACCCCCTTTTCTGGTATTCAGAGGGCCGTTCAGGAAAAATTAACCATGGTTCTGTGGTTCCCGCATGTGCCCCTATATCATGCAAAAGACCGTTTTGAAAAAGCTTGGCACACCCTGAAGACCTCCTTGTTAGTCGTCAACGTGTAATGAATGTGAGCGATAGCGAACAGTGATAATACGGTTTCTCTCTTTACCAGAAATTCTAGGTATCCTGCTCCCGAGATTGTGGAGGGCAAAGGGATATACTAATAATACCCGCACATACGATGTCAAGGAGAGAAGACCGCATTCTAATATGCTTCGGATCGTAATATCAGTAAAATCGTCGTATTCTGAGGAAAAAATATAAAGGAAGTCCGAATCTCTTTCCCTGATTTTGAGGGAGCCACATAGCATCCACCAGTAATCATACCTACATTGAATAGAGTATTTCTGTAGTTTTACGCGGAGTTTTTCATGGAGACCGCATTCTAATATGCTTCGGATCATAATATCAGTAAAATCGTTGTATTCTGAGGAAAAAATATAAAGGAAGTCGAATCTCTTTCCCTGATTTTGAGGGGACCCACATAGCATCCACCAGTAATCATACCTACATTGAATAGAGTATTTCTGCAGTTTTACGCACAATCTGCAAAGACGGTCAAGGCCGATCTGTCGGGCTCACTGAAGGCGCAGAACGAAACCGAATTGAACGACACACGATGCACGAATAAGGAGCTGAAGGACATCATGCGAAAAGTGAGACTGTCCATAAATCTTAAAGAGGCACCTGTATTTTGAATTCCATTTAGATCTCGTATCGTACACCATCATTAGCGAAACGCCTCATACAAAGGATCGCCGAGGAAAAATTAGGAGGTGACACAGGCCCGAATTGACCTTTCACTATTTTCAAAGATCCAAGAAAGAACTTTTCAGGAATGTTCGCGGTGTTCTGCTCCAAGGACGATTTTACCTATGTCTCTCGAAGTAAAGTGTACTGTCAAGTGGAACGCGATGACGTTGTCTGCTATGCGTTCCAGCATAAGTGAATTGCTAGGAGATGCCACGTCCACTAGGGAATTCTACCTCAGATGTGGTCACCTCAGAGACCTAACCACTTTTCGCGTTTGAAGTAGAACCAACTCAGAGCACTGCACTTTTCACATTCTTGGTTGATAGTAATTGCATGTTTACGGCATTGGTAGTAATATTCCTGACATTTTATTACTTAATACGGCCTCAAACTATAAATAGTCTGTCTGAGTTGTTGCCATTAATATCTCTGTGTCTCTTTCTTAGCCGCAACACACTTTCTTGACACAATATGCATGTACATAATGGTCACAAATGGTTAGCATTTTTGAAATAAAGAACCCTTGGTTTTTGTACTTGGAAAAGGCAAATTTCAAGGTTTTTGATCTCTGCAATAGGTTTTTGCCCTTTATAAAAATCGCCACAAATGAACGCCAACTAAAGGCAACATCCACAGTGATGATCGATTGCAATTTTTTTTTGCTAGGGGAAATTTGGGGTTTCACCCATCAAGGAAGGGAGTCATGTGATGCGGCAGTTCATATCGCCTGAAGTAGTGCAATTTTTCTCAGGGAAGACATCTCCGGCGCGAGGTAAAAGCGGAAGCGAAAGGGCTCACGCACTTCGGGATTTTCCCCGATGCAAAAATTAGAATTTATGCGGGCGGCAGTGACTGCCACCACATGTCTTTCACTGGATGGGACACAATTAGTAAACTGACTCTCGCGTGGACTGCTGGCTCTTTGGTCGCGCTATTTCAGGCTATTTCCTTCCATGCGAAATTCGAATTTCGCCTTCGATAGACTACGGCAAAACCACCGTTTTCTAGTTCAACGAAATTATCAAGAGAAGTAGGGCTTCATTCGACTTCGGCATTCAATGGGCACATAGGCCGGGCATCATTCTTAATACAAAATAATCACAATAATCCACCGAAAACACCAGGACTTTCCAGATATGTAACAATCTAACGAAGAACACTCTCTGGAAATCCTATCAACAATAATTGGCTACAATTTAATATTGATCCCTCCGAGAGGAATCAGAACATTAAGATTCAACAGCGAAAGGAGAAATGAAACTTGGACAGACAATACTTTCACACAACCATCGTCTGGGATCTTTCGTCATGGCCATCCTTCGGCATGTGGACTTAGAGACCTCGACGATTGTGGTCCTCTGACCTGTGCGTCGTACCAACTGGTCTGCAACCTAAATACTAATTTCCACTTGACAAACGAAGGCGAAGAAGTCTTGTCATAGATAGGCAGAAGCTATAATGAAACAATTTCAAGTTTATAACAACTTTTGCTATAACTTTGCAGGAGCATCGAAAACCAGTCTTTTCTCCAGAAATACCATCCAGATCACAAAGCACGTTGAAGTTGCAATTATTCTGGAACATGGTTTATGCCTGAATACGGACCCATATGAAGGTCTTCATATACTGACTTGAACTTCAATGTCCGCTCCAGAAAGACGCAACGCCAATTGCGCACCCCCAGCTATGTACACACCAAGCTCATGAACATCTGCAGCGATGGCGTGGACGTGACAGTCCTTACCTAGTTCGTGCCTACAAGACCTGCCAGGGTCAAGAAAGGAGTCGAGGAAAATTTCAAAATACGACCCCCTCCCTCCCCACCATTTCCAGAGGTCAAAGTCC